TTGGGGCGTTTTGAGCGCCTCTTGACCCTTCTGGAAGCGATCGTTGGCGGTCTCGAAGCGATCCTGGGGTTCTCTCGGCGCTCCTGGAGCCCTCTTGGGCGGGCTGGAACGCGCGGGGGCCGCCGGAAGGGCGCCCCGGGAGAGGGCCGCACCCTATATACAAGGGAGGTTCCGGCCCGGGGCCGGGGCCCGGGATCTCCCATATATGTATACTAGAACCACGCGCGCGCTTCGCGCGCGCTTAGGTTCTAGTTTGCTCCGAAAACGGTGTTCGCAAGCACGGGTCCGATTCCGTGGCGATTCGCGGGAAATCTACGTCCGAAAATGACGTGTTGCCAGAGGCAGGTCCGCGGATGCTTTAATGCAACGTGTCCAGTGTATCCAACGATTGCATACTTGTTACATATGCTACATATTGTATTGTTCTGCAATATTATGCCCCCCCCCCTTGGAGCCGCGCCACATCGTCGGACCAAATCTGGAGGGCCTCATTCTGGGCCTCAAAACATAGGAAGACCTATGGAATATCAACAATTTCGGCCTCTTGGGCCTCTTGGGACTCCAAGAGGGCCTCAAGATGGCCGACGATGGCCCCAAGACAGCCCAAGACGGCCTCAAGACGGCCCGAAATGGCCCCAAGAGGGCCCATGAGGCTCCAAAGAAGATCCACGAGAGCACTCAAACGCGAACAATCTTTCCATGACACCCTCACCCTTAGACCCGAACCTTGAGACGGAAGACCCGAGCCCAGAAATCGAACCCGAACGCCTCAACATCTCAAATGAAGAGGCTCATCCCCGCTCCACCGTTTCCTCCTTCCTTCTGAATCCTTCCTTCTTCCACTTGCTCAAACTCCTCCTCCTCCTCCTCCTCCTCCTCCTCCTCCTATCGTCCCTCCTCGCTCCAGCACTTCCTCTCCATCCTCCTCCTCCTCCCGCTCCTCTCCTCCTCTCCCTCTCCTCCTCCTCCTCTCTCCGCCTCTCCTCCTTCCTTCTCCTCCTTCTCCCCCTCCTCCTCCTCCTCCTCCCCCTCTCCTCCTCCTTCTCCTCCTTCTCTCCTCCTTCCTCCTCCTCTTCCTCCTCCTCCTCCTCCTCTTCCTCCTCCTCTCTCCCCGTCCTCCCCCTCCCTCCAGCTCCTCATCCCACCTCCTCCCACCGTCCCGGCAGACTCCATGCATTGACGTTCGTGCGAGGCCTCATTCCCAAGCTTGTCTTGGGGCGCCCTTGGGCGCCTCTTGGGGCTTTTGGAATAAGTTGGATACGTGGTACGAAAGGAATGGAGTAAGTTTTGGCTCCCGGGGCCCTTTTGGAAGGCCTCTTGGAGCCTTCTTGGGGCGGCCATGTTGGGCCGTATCGGAGCGCTCCGGGGGCCCTCTCGGGGCGACCGGGAAGTCTCTTGGGCCATCTTGGGCGGACTGGGAGGCCCGGGGGCCGCCCGAGGAGCGTCCCAGGAAGCCCTCATAGGCCCTCTTAGCGCTGTCCTGAGGCGTCCTGGGGCGTCCTTGGGCGCCTCCTGGGGCTGTGTGACAACTCGGACAGCCAAGGGATGAGATATCCTAAAAATGTACGTTTTACGAAGGGAATGGGGCCATTTTGGTTTCCCGGGGCGCTCTTGGGGGGCCTCTTGAAGGCCTCTTGGGGCGGTTTGATGGCCTCTTGTCCCTTCTGGAAGCGATCTTTGGCGCTCTTGGAGCCTTCTTTGGCGGACTGGGCAGCCCAGGGGCCGCCGGAGGAGCGTCCCGGGAGGCCTTCCTGGGCTGTCTTCGGGCTATCCTAGGGCGCCTCGTGGGGCTTTCGGACCGCTCCGACAGCCAAGGGAGCTGATATCCTAAAAATGTACGTTTTACGAAGGGAATGGGGCTATTTTGGTCTCCCGGGGCGCTCTTGGGGGGCCTCTTGGAGGCCTCTTGGGGCGGTTTGATGGCCTCTTGGCCCTTCTGGAAGCGATCTTTTGCGGTCTTGAAGCGATCCTGGGGTTCTCTCGGCGCTCTTGGAGCCTTCTTGGGCGGACAGGGCAGCCCGGGGGCCGCCGGAGGAGCGTCCCGGGAGGCCCTCCTGGGCCGTCTTGGGGCTGTCCTCAGTCGTCCTGGAGCGTCCTTGGGCGCCTCGTGGGGCTTTCGGGCCGCTCCGACAGCTAAGGGAGCTGATATCGTAAAAATGTACGTTTTACGAGGGGAATGGGGCTATTTCGGTCTCCCGGGCCGCTCGTGGGGGGCCTCTTGAAGGCCTCTTGGGGCGGTTTGAGCGCGTCTTGACCCTTCTGGAAGCGATCTGTGGCGGTCTTGAAGCGATCCTGGGGTTCTCTCGGCGCTCCTGTAGCCCTCTTGGGCGGGCTGGAACGCGCGGGGGCCGCCGGAAGGGCGCCCCGGGAGAGGGCCGCACCCTATATACAAGGGAGGTTCCGGCCCGGGGCCCGGGGCCCGGGATCTCCCATATATGTATATT